AATAATTGTTATCACAATGTTATGTAGAATATGCAAATGCTAAAGTAAACATAAGCACATGTTTGAATTATAAACCCTAATAGATAGGAGGAAGCACTATTCCTAATTCCTCTTGACAGTGTCAGCACTGCCAGGGGCTCAGCTGAAGGCCTTCTGCTCCCTGACACTGTTGTCTTCAAGGCCTTAGAAAATCACCTCCGAGCTCTGGTTTTTTGGGAAAAGGTAATTTGGCTTTTCTGGGAAAGCATGGTGCAAAAGATTCATCCAGAAGGATGAATAATTCTTTTTTTTTTTTTTTTGAGACGGAGTCTTGCTCTGTCTGATCGCGCAGTGGCGCGATCTCCGCTCACTGTAAGCTCTGCCTCCCGGGTTCACGCCATTCTCCTGCCTCAGCCTCCCAAGTAGCTGGGACTACAGGCACCTGCCACCATGCCCAGCTAATTTTTTGTATTTTTAGTAGAGACGGGGTTTCACCGTGTTGGCCAGGATGGTCTCAATCTCCTAACCTCATGATTCGCCCACCTTGGCCTCCCAGAGTGAAGAATTCTTATAATCTAAAACTGCAGATGGAGATCTAAATACATTTGGAAAGGAAATTTGTTGAGAGTGCCACCAATTGTCTAAAAAGTAAGTAATAAAATTACCAGATGTGACTAGGCATGGTGGCTAACACTTATAATCCCAGAACTTTGGGAGGCCAAGGTGGGTGGATCACCTGAGGTTAGGAGTTCGAGAACAACCTGGCCAACATGGTGAAACCCTGTCTTTACTAAAAATACAAAAATTAGCTGGGCGTGGTGGCAGACACCTGTAATCCCAGCTACTCAGGAGGCCGAGGAAGGAGAATCATTTGAACCCAGGAGGCAGAGGTTGCAGTGAGCCGAGATCATGCCACTGTACTCCAGGCTGGGCAACAAGAGCGAACCTCTGTCACACACACACACACACAAAATTACCAGAGGTGTGTATAATAATTGTTTTAAATGAGTACATTCAAACCTTTTTCCTTATCTATAAATTTATGGCCTTGAACAATAATGCCTTTAGGGCATCATTTTTATGATATCAAGAGCAAAAAAGATATAAAGTTATCATCACAAAACCAGAAGCTCTAGCCTGCTGTAAGGGGTGATGTATGAGGTTGTCGGATTTGATAGCAGATTGCTGGGCAGATTGTTAAATTTGCCTTCTCTGGTGATCTTTTACATTTTGACAAATTCTTCCTTGTTTTAAGATGATTTAAACATATGGTTATGAAACAGATCAGAACTTTTAAATCAAATTGAAAGTGTACTGCCTGGAGTACAGGTGTGTTACAGTGAATATATACATAAATAAATGGAAAAGTATGCACAAGTTGGAAAGCATTCCCTTTCTGGCAATATATTCTGGAGAAGCAAAACAGTGGAGAAGAGGAAAGTTGCGAATTTCTGTGCTAAGGTCGTAATTCCCTTACTCTCTAATATTCTGAGTCTCTTCATTATGTCTGAGTTTCTCACCACTGGAATGGAAGCTCCACAAAGGCAGGGATCATCATCTGTGTATTTATTTATTTATTTATTTATTCTTTTTATTTTTTGAGATGCAGTCTCTCTCTGTTGCCCAGGCTGGAGTGCAGTGGTATGATTTCGGCTCACTGCAACCTCCACCTCCCAGGTTCCAGCAATTCTCCTGCATCAGCCTCCTGAGTAGCTGGGATTACAGGTGTGCACCACCCTGCCTGGTTACTTTTTGTATTTTTAGTAGAGATGGGATTTTACCATGTTGGCCAGGATGGTCTCGATTTCCTGCCCTCAGGTGATCCGCCTGTCTTGGCCCCTCAAAGTGCTGGGATTACAGGCATGAGCCGCACCCGGCATCATCTGTTTTTAACTGATGTATCCCAATCATCTAGAAAGTGGCTAGCACATCATAGGCTCTCAATTTATACTTACTGATTAAACAAATCCATAAAATGGTATTAATCATAGCAGCCTCTATATATTTGGCTTGAATGTTTCATGGGGGAGAAATGAGACAAAGGAGCTTGAACTTCCTTGGAAGAAGATTCTTATATAAATCCGATTAGACTCAATTTTTTTTTCATTGCTTACACAGCCTTCCAAATCAAAATCATCTTGAAGCCAGCAGCAGTTGACGTCTTCCAGAGGTAGTATGATGCCAAATCTCAGCCTTGCTCACCTCCCTTAGTGTGGCCTCAGCTGTATGCTGAAATATGGTAGTGAAAAGACTGGGCTCTGAATAACAGATCCCAGTTTTTTCATTAGTTGTATGACCCTGGCCATGTTTTTTAACCTTTGGTAATTTGGTTTCCTAACAATGGGGACATGAGTAATATCAACCAGGGAGTTCTAAGGATAAAATGAGATAATTCATATAAAGTTGCCTGCATAGTACAGCACATGGGAAGCACTCCACAAATGTTAAATTATAGCATTTTGCCATCTGAGGATTTCTTCTCAGTTCATTTTCTTCTGTTCATTTTTCTGCTTGAGCACTTGTGTCAGTTTCCTTGGGCTGCCATAAAAATGACGGCAAACAAGATGGCTTACAACAGCAGAAATTGCTCACAGTTCTGGAGGCTAGATGACCAAGGTGTTGGCAGGGCCAGGCTCCCTCTGAAAGCTTTGGGAAAGGATCTTCCCTTGAGTATTTCAGTTTCTGGAGCCCCCGACATTCTTGACTTGTGGTGGAGAATCCCCATCTCTGCATCAGTCTTCACACGGTGTTCTTCCTGTGTCTCTTCACATCGTCTTCCCGCTACGTGTGTCTGTGTCCAAGTTTTAACTTTTATAAACACACCAGTCATCTTGGATTAGGGCCCACCCTAGTGAACTTATTTTAATTTGTTTACTTCTGTAAAGTCCCCATTTCCAAAAGAGACTACATTCTGAGGTACTTGGGATTAGAACTTTAGCGTATTTGATGGAGAGGGACAAAATTCAACCCCTAATAGAAGAGCAAACAGGAAAAAAACAATGAACTGAGGAGAATTCCTCAGCTAGCAAAATAATAGCATGATTCTTTCTTCTCAACTAAGCATGCCTTTCCTTCCCCAGCGGGGGTGGATCATATAATTTGGCAGCAAATTAGGAGCTTTCAGGTTTAGGCTTACCTGTCTTACTAACAGTCTACATCAAAAAAAGTAACTCAAATTCTACAGACCTGGGTTACTTCAATGTAAAATGAAGGGGCTGAACCAGATGATTCTACCATGCCTTCTAATTTCAAAAGGTCATATTTACAAAGTGTGGCCCTCTTTTTCTCAACTGCAGTCAGTGTCTACCTCTCCTGGATTCTCTGTGCATTTTGATGTTCCTGTAACTAGTAATAAAGGCTCCCATCATTACTATGAAAAAATCAGGATGTGAGATAATTGATATGTTAATTAGTTTGAGCAGTTTCACAATGCATACATATATCAAAGCATCACGCTGAGCATCATAAATATATATAATATTTATTCATCAATTAAAAAATAAATAAGAAGGGCCGGGCGCGGTGGCTCACGCCTGTAATCCCAGCACTTTGGGAGGCCAAGGTGGGCGGATCACGAGGTCAGGAGATCGAGACCATGCTGGATAACACGGTGAAACCCCGTCTCTACTAAAAATACAAAAAAAATTAGCCAGGCGTAGTGGCGGGCGCCTGTAGTCCTAGCTACTCAGGAGGCTGAGACAGGAGAATGGCATGACCCTGGGAGACGGAGCTTGCAGTGAGCTGAGATTGTGCCACTGCACTCCAGCCTGGGCGACAGAGCAAGACTCCGTCTCAAAAATAAATAAATAAATAAATAAATAAGAGGAAGAATAAGTAGTTCTGATATATCTCAGGCAATTTCATTTGTCACAATGTATACTTACATTAGAATCCCATTGTTCTTAATGCTATTTAATGAGAACACTGATCTTTTCCAATGAAAGTTTTATTAGATTTAGATTGATAAAGTATCTAAATAGTGCCAGTGAGCCTTTTTGTGTGTGTTTTTATTGCTTTTTGAAATTTTCTAAAATTTGTAGACATTTGTTTTAATGTCAAACACCCTCCACATAGAAATAAGATCTGAGGCATGAGGGTTTGTACTATGTGTCTTTTTTGATTATAGTATAATACAACTTCTGTGAAAGTCATAAAACCAAAATTCCAAGGGTTAGAGGAAATGAGAAATTATAGTTGTCCCCGGTTATCTGCAGTGTTGATTTCCTCAGTTTCAGTTATCTGTGGTTAAGCACAATCCAAAAATATTAAATGAAAATATCCTGAAATAAAGCATTTTTAGTTTTAAATTGCAGGCTGTTGGGAATAGTGTGATGAAATCTCACACTGTCCCATTCCCGTTCCCCAAGGCTTTGAATCTTCTCTTTGTCCAGCACATCAGTGTTGTCTATGCTACTGGCCCATTAGTTACATAGTAGCCATCTCGGTTATCAGATCAACTGCCGTGGGTATCCCAGTGCTTATGTTCGAGGAACCCTTATTTTACCTAATAATACCCCAAAGCACAAGAGTAGTGATGCTCTTATATCATTATAATTGCTTTATTTTACTATTAGCTATTATAATTAATTTCTTACTGTGCCTTATCTTAGGTATGTATATATAGGAAAAAACATAGTATATATAGGGCTCAATACTGTCTATGATTTCAAGCATCCACAGGAGGTCTGAGAACATATCCTCTAAAGATAAGTGGGGACTACTATAAATGCTGCCACAGATTCACAGACTATTGACAACTTTCCTGAAAGTTTGCTTAGAATATCGTTTACTTAAAAGTACAGACCACCATTATACTTAAAAGTCTACTCTGCCACAGCTAGAAGAAAATTTAAGAAAGAAAATAAGAACTCTATGCCTACTCTGGGATGTAACAGTTTTAGAGTGCCGTAGCCAACAAGGGTCGACCATAGATAGATTCAAGATCACCAAATGGCATTTTCTTGGCCTTGTCTGAAAACTGCTGCCCCAAGTGTTCACGGGATTGTTTCTTTCTCTTTCAGCTTCCTCCATTCTCAAAAGGGAGAAGCGGCTGAGGACAAAGAATGTACATTTTAGTTGTGTCACCGTGTACTACTTCACCAGGAGGCAAGGCTTCACAAGTGTACCCAGTCAAGGGGGCAGCACCCTGGGGATGTCCAGCCGCCATAACAGCGTGCGCCAGTACACTCTTGGCGAGTTTGCAAGGGAGCAGGAGAGGCTCCATCGGGAGATGTTGAGAGAACACCTTAGGGAGGAAAAACTGAACTCCTTAAAACTAAAGGTAAAAAACAAACTCATTTTCTGCAAAGTCTCATATCCTTACAGCAATTTGATTGAGTTAACCGTTTTCATATTTATAATCACGAACCAAACTGGGCATTTTACATAACAGACTGCTGGCTGACATTTTTTTTAAAGCAAAACAATATAGTCTGTTTACTGAAAGCAATGTGGGAAACTTATCTGACATCATTTATTCATTCATTCCACCAATATTTACTATTGAATATTGTGAGATCATATACCCTGTGCTTGGGCTAGGGCTAGTAGGTGACCAAAAATAGATGTGGTTCTCTCTCTATAGGAACTCACAGAATAATAGAAAAGAAAAATATTAAAGTGCTAAACAAAATAAAAGCACAACTTTATCGAGTGCAATGTAGAAGAGTTGCAAGGTATTAGGAAAGTTTATAAGAGGAAATTGATGTGGTCAAGGGAGTCAAGGAAAGCTTTCTCAAGGAAATGAAATGAAAATCTGAAGAGGCGACTAGGTGAAGAGGATTGGCAAGAGCATTTCAGATATCAGGAAAAGCCAGAGCTACTGTATTAGTCTGTTTTCACGCTGCTGATAAAGACACACCCAGGACCAGGTAATTTATAAAGAAAAAGATTTAGTGAACTCAGTTACACATGGCTGGGGAGGCCTCACAATCATGGCAAAAGACAAAAGGCACTTATTACATGGTGGCAGCAAGAGAGAAAGTGAGAGCCAAGTGCAAAAGGAAACCCCTTATAAGACCATCAGATCTCATGAGACTTATCACTACCATGAGAACCCTATGGGGGAAGAGCCCCCAGGATTCAGTTATCCCCCACTGGGTCCCTCTGACAACACATGGGAATTATGGGAGTTACAATCCAAGATGAGATTTGGGTGAGGACACAGCCAAACCGTATCAGCTACCTTCTGCCAGGAGGGAGCACAGTGAGTCCACAATGGCTTGTGTGGCTGGAGCAGAGGCAAGAAGAGTGAAGTAACATGAAGGAGGCAGGAATGGGTCTTTGTAAACCACGTTAAGGTATTCTTTCCTCTTCTTCCTAAGGCCATAAAAAGTCATCAAGAGTTTTAAGCTGAGTTGGAGTGGCAGGATATGATCCAGCTCATGAAATGGTGGGAGAAAAAGTTGCGGATAGGGTAAGCAGTATTGAGAGAGGATGGAATATATGAAATTAGACCAGTTAGAAAGCTATTACCATAGTCCGGGAGAGAGGTGACAGTAGGTTATATTAGACTGGTAGGGGAGTCGAAGAGGGATGAATAGAGGGAGAAATTTAGCAAACAAAATCACCAGTGTTTGATGACAGGTTGGATTTAGGAGGGAAAGAAGGAGATTGTCAGGAATGACCCCTAAATTTCTGGCTTGCAAAACTGAATGGGTTGTAGGTGATAATACTGTTTGCTATGACAGGGAACACAGGAAGGGGACAGGCTGAGGGTGGGATGTGGAAAGTGATAGTGAGATCATTTTTGGACATACTGAGTTGGAGGGGCTTTTGAGTTACCAAGAGATGGCAGGAAGGTATCCAAGTGGAGAAATTTATTTTTGTGCCACTTTAGAGATTAAATGGGGAGAAATACGACACTGAAAACATCTTTTGTCAGCTAAAGACACTCTTCCATTGGATTATCACCTTATGAATTCATAGGAAATGTTTTTCCATCATTATCTAATGACAACGAAAATCTTTCTTAGGTAATCCAGGGTACTTAACATAAATGGTCATTTGTTAAGTACCTGAAGCACCATAAGCACAGCTGGGTTAGTGTTACTTTTAGTTTTCAGAATAAAGTCAGTCGGCAGGGGTGTGATGTGTGTTTCAAAACATCTTGTTTTTATGTACTTTGCAATGTATGTATGTGCCATGTTCCCAATTACATGGCAAAGCAGTCACTTAAGCTGGATACAAGCTAGCTTAGAGCATGTCTCTTATTTCCTTTACTAGTATTTTTGGCAGGTTTCACTGAAAGTCTTGGGTCTCATTAAAAGTTTTGTGGGTAGCAATCCACTATTATTGTTGTCGTTTTTTATGCTTGCTCTGCGTGTAGCTTAATTTAGTAAAAATTCTCAGATTTGCTTCTCTTCTGAAATCCACCCTCTGCCTTTGTCACCCACAGCAAACCAACTCTACCCTCTAACCAAAGAGTGAAATCGTTCTCCAAATTCAAGTATTGGTAGCACAATAGTAATGGCTGCCAATTATTAAGTTATTTTTATTTGCCAAGTACTTTATGCCCTTGATTTAATGTAATTCTCTGGAAGACCCAGTGGAAAAGGTAAATTATTAGAACATGTTTACAACTGAGAAAAAAAAGAAGCACAGAGATGTGAAGTAACTGGCTCACCAAAATAGAAAACAGATTATATTATCTTATTACTTCCTATTCTTAAATTAATTGATTAGCTCCTATAGGCATTGAGAAAGACAATATTTGTACCTATGGGGAGTCATCCTGTCTGGGGTTTGGTACTGTGTGCAGTGGTTTTTAACAGTTGGGGGACTGACTTGCTATCTGAGAACCAAAAGATTTATTGTGGTGAACTTTGAGGCACGTGGTACATGTGATGAATGTTAGGGGAAGCCACAAACCTATAGCAACCTTCCCCCATGTGCTATGTACTATAATTTGTATCCAGCTACTTTGATACATTTTTTTTAAACAAGCTGAATGAGAAAAGAAGGCGCAAAATGACCACTCTATTACTAATTTGTTTTTTAAAATTCTGCTTAGTGTTAGATGTTGGAGAGGCAATCATCTGAGCGAGTGTCAGGTCTCGGTTTGTTATTGGTAAGTGAAAACACAGTTTTCCCCTTTGGTGAAATGTCAACAAAAGGCATTTGGTTATCATCACTACTTCCAAATAAATACCAACCTAAAAGATGAGATTTTTAGATGATCCAATCTTAACTTCACTGTGTTTAAAGTATTCAGAAACACATGTCACACAAAGCTAAAAGATCACAGCAATGATCTTTTAACAATAAGCTTTTTAAAACTCTGAGGAGAATTAATGGAGAAAAACTTGTGTATATTTTCACTGTAATTCCTCTAGTATATGAACTTTTATGATTTTAAAAATATTATTGACCATGGTTTAGCTATCCAAAGTCAGCTACCCCAAAACACAGCTATTCAAAAATTTCACTCTGATACTTGAAATTTCACTTTTAATGTGATATTTGTTTGAAATATAAACACCTCTGGTGTAAGTAACAAAATATAGATGCCCCTCAATTTGTGGCGGAATTATCTCCTGATAAACCCACTGTTAAATTAAAATATCATTAAGTTGAAAATGCATTTAATACATCCAACCTACTGAATATCATGGCTTAACCTAGCCCACCTTAAACATGCTCAGAACACTTATGTTGGCCTACCGGGCAGGAAGATCACAAACTGGCCACACAGTTTGCCATGGGGTAGCAGTTGTTCATCCTCATGATTGCATGGCTGAAAATACCCTGCATTGCACGAGGGTATTGCTAGCCCAGCAAAAGATCAAAATTCAAAATTCAAAGACTAGTTTCTACTGAATGTATACTGCTTTTGCACTATCATAAAAATCATAAAAAGCTGAACCATCGTAAACCAGGGACCTTTTGTAAATGTGGCTAAATTGATTTCATTATTTTGACTGGGGCAGCAGAAGGGTCATTAGTACAGAAGATAATTCCAAAAAGAAAAGTAAGCATTGTTAAAGACAAACTTTGCTCACTGCGAGTTGGCCTGAGTTGGTCCTTTGTGAGTGGCAGTGAATTGCCTGCTGAATAAGGAGGGAGGAAAGGCAGCATCTGACAAGACAGACATTTCCAAAGACATCATTATGGAGACATGGAATACCGCATGGGAAACTCATTGAACTCAGAGCTACATAGTTTTCCTTCTACTCTGAGAACCAACAGCCCCAAAACAGGAAGGAAAAGCTCCTCTTTCCACTGTGCCTCTGAATCTTTCCAGGGTATCTCTGCTGAGTTCCAAATAGAGAACCTGTTTATATAATGGCACCTCTCGTGATGGGGCTTTAATAGAGAAATGTGAGAAAAAGAAATACATTCATAGACACTTCTAGATGTTGTAATACATCTATAGATGTTATTTTGAAAACAAAAGTAGAAATGTATGTTTTGATTATAAAATTGCTCCTAATTTACTAATTCATCTTCCAATCAAGTTATAAGTTTAGATATATCAAAAAATAATATGTATGTATTACCTTAGTAGAACAAATCCAATTCTATTTGGGGGAGTCCAGGTGTGTCTTTTTTTGTTAGTGGTGTTGGTGTTTCAAACATTGGCTATAAACAACTAATAGAGAAAGCTGATTGAATAAAATGCATTTCTAGAAGAAATAAGTAGCTTTAGATTTCTAAATTACAGAGCACATTTCTTCTTCTCTGTCAAGCCCATTCAAACATGTCATACTCTTCACAGTAATCAATGCAGTCATCTTAATACTCTACACTTTTCCAAATTAAGTGCTTAGATTTCATCATCTGCGCTATATTGTTGAACAATTACATTAGCCTTTATTCCCAATTCACATGTATCTGTAAAATGCATTAGGCAGCCATTTGTATGTTTTAAAAGAGCATTGGTGTTTCAATTGCCTCTGGGTTCTATCATACTGGATTCTACTACCTTGTTCTAAGAAATTTAATTTAGCTTCCACAGCTTTGGCTTGCTTTTCTCTTAATATTTTTTCAACCCAAGTTGTTCCTCTTATTTCTGAGATCCAAGGGTCTATCTTCATTCTTGCTGCCATTTCTAATTGCTTTTCAGAATTATATACTTTTCTCAATTTCTCAGTCATATGTTCCTTGAGTAATGCGTGGCTGATACTTGCCCTCCTTCCCTCATTTAAAAACCAAACAAACAAAAACACAGTTGGCAGATGGTAAGTCTTCCTTTAATGATTAACCTTTAAAGAAACTCTACATAAAATTTTTTCATCCCAAATCTCAGATTTATGACTGTGCTCTACCCATTTAGTGACTTAC